AATGGACTACTAGTTCTGTTGTTCACTGTTGAAGTTTTTTATTTTGAATATTTTCTACGCTGTCAGCGAAAAATAAACGCAAAGAAAACTGCTAGTTTTTATATTTCTCATTTGCGTAATTCAGCTTGCCAAATGTTGATTTTTTATCTTCCGTGACATCCAACTATGGAAATCGCTGCAAAGAATCGTTTATTTTTTGCCCATGATAATGAAAAAAGTATGGATTTCTTTTTAACAGTACGTGTAATGGTTGTAGGAGTGCCTTGTTTTGGCGTAAGAATCTGATGGTCAATTACGTAAATTAAACAAAATTTAAGTTTGAATTAAGAAGATTATTTTATTGTTCCCAGTTTTCTTTAAATATTGAATGTTTAACTAAAAGTAGTGATAAGAAATTTAAAGCGAATGAACAAACGTGTTTCTGGTTTAGTGAAATGTGAGCAAAAGCCACTTGAATTACAGAATAGGAGTGAATGGCGGGTATGTTAACTCTTAATTATGTGGAACTGGTTACAGCATCGGTGGATGTACGTCACTCCAACACTGGACACAGTGGAAGCTTACACGGGTTTTGCTTTATAGTTGAAGCTCATGGGATGGGGTAAATATGCTCCGTCAGGCCTTGAACGCCTACTTTAATGTCCATATTTAGAGGCTATCTGTAAGCTGTAAGAGTGCAATTCTGTATGTAGTGCTGCGTTGATAGAGCTGCGTACGCAGTTAACGCTTAAACGTGTTATTGCCATACGACATAACCAACGTTAGGGCAGCTGGATATTCGGCAAGAATAATACTCTTTCCCGGAGCGAACATTCTAACACCGGGCTAGGAAGAACATAATTTAACAATGCGTTTATGGTTTCTTAGCTTAGATGACGGAATGGCGATAACAAGTTTGTCAATTTTTTAAACCATTTCGTTTCCTTATTGCATTCCGGCCATTACGGAATAAGCCAAATTTCGCGACTGTTGGACATAAATTCATTTAGTGCGAAATACCGTACTACAAATGACATACATGTGATATGTTTAGCTGAATATTTTAATCTGTACTTTTACTCGGGATGGCACCTTGGTCAGCATTGCTATGGAGAAAAAGTAGAGAGCAATGGTGAGCCGAACATGCAACACCACCTCTGGCGAACTCCATGGCTAACAGCAATTCATTCAGAGAGCTCTACGTCGACTTTGATGATAGTTCCTGCATACATATCTTTCAGAGTAGAAGTAGACTTGTATTATAGCACATCAAGGTCTTCTACTCCAATGACGAAGTAGTAAATAAATGCAACTCCAAAGTACAGGAACTCAAAGTAACTGGAATCTCTGCATTGCTCAGGGAACCCATGGAGAGTGAAATTCGATTAGGGCTTCACTAACTCATTTGCATGCCTGCTTGATAGTATGTCTCTCAGCACTGTCTGCCTTAGCGATTCGTGGATAATCCAGAAAATGTGTTTATCTTGTGTTAACAGTCATGTAGTGCCAGTTTCAATGAACCACTCGATCGCCCGATGCCCTTAGGTGTGGAAAATATGACTGACACACGGCCGTGTCTGTTATCTCGGTTGAGGAAAGACATGTTTCAGCCTAAGCACGCTAACCACTCTACATAGGCAAAAAATGAAAATAAAACAACCTACCTGTTCTATAGTAGCTTCCAGTGCAATGCAGGCACTTAAATACCATGCAGCCGCGGCCTGCTAATATTGCCCTCTAGGAGATTAGAAATAAGGGAGCGATGTAATACTGCGATAAAAATTCCATCTATTTTGTATTTCTGCAGCATCGATGTAAAGTAAGAAATATTTGTTTTCTTTAAACCTACGTCTTTTGCCCTTCTATTCATTATTGTTGATGTCATTTACGCATCAGCAGTGTCAAAGGTTTCCCTTTTTTATGCTATCCCAAAACATCTGGATTATTTTATTTTGATTTGAATACTGTTCGCTGGCTACCATTTCTGATTGGCTTATCGATCTTCGTGATTTGCCGCTCCAGGTCAAAATTTTTTTCTTTTCACTGCATTTGACTGCCTGAACGAGATAATTAGGAGCAACTTTCTGTGGTACAGTAAAGTATGCAAGTACTCATTCCTTAACACTTTAAAGGCTTTAATGGCGCTTCCCAGTTTGGTTATGCGTAGTCTGAACCTATTTATGATCTTCATCGAAGAAATTGCTCCTTCCTTCATTCTTTGGTTTGTAAACTTCACTTCATCGGCCTTGGGAATTTTTTACTGGTAATTAAGGGGAGGGAGTATTATAACTCCATACTTTCTTTTCCTAGATTGATCTTGTCACTTCATAATATTATATTACAACCTTTAACGTTGAGAAGCTGACGTGTTTTAATCTGATGATGTAGATATGATATGACTAATTTTAGACGCAATCCCGCTATCACCGTATAATGATCAAACCAAATTAAACATTACGTCTAAAGCGAGTCTTAAGTAGCGAGCTGCACAATTTGCAGTTGAGGGCATGGCGCACTTTAGTGCTTAGGCTTGCCTGAAAACGTTTTGCAAATTCGCTTATAAAAGAAGAAAATCTATTCGACAGTCAAGCTCTTTTATATGCGGAAACTTAGATGGATACGTGCTGTGGTCATTCCTGCTTCCATTACCGTAATGGCCGAATAAGCCTGGTCACACGCTGCCCGCTCGACTCCAACCATCGCGTTGCTGTCGTTTGTGATAATTGGGTGATTAGAAATTAGAGTAGCCAAGTGCTCCTTGATTTCAGTTGTAAATTATTCCAATGATATTATTTAAAAACATGTTTTAAAGTATGCATTTTATTAGTTTTATTTTTATTTCTCGTGACTAGGATCTCGCGAACCATGTTTTGAATACACTTCGATCTACAGTACACCGCAATTATCAGACTATTTGGATAGGATTATTGTGAAGATAAGGCAAAAAATTCAATCATCAATTTTGCTTCCCTTGCTTTCGGTTCGTGGTTTGTGGAGAAACAGTTGTTTTTCTGCGTTAACAGCGCAATTCCGACTGACATGATGCAGTGTTTGTGTATTTTCCGCATCGTTCACATAGACTAACTGGTACAACTAATTGCGACAATCATTAATTCTCAGAACCATACAACTCACAAGTTATGCTATAAACCATGCACTCTATGATGATTGGAACGGAGATCACCATGCTTAATGTTTTTCAGTTCGCTACAAAGCTACGAAACTTCAGCACATTTTTTTCTGTCTGTGCACAGCCAACACACATATGTTTAGCGCTTTGTGTTCATCTATTACAAACTGTAAAAGATCTCCATAACAATTGGTCTTCCCTCCTCGAAAGAATATGCCCACTGCTTGTTAGCGCTTAGCACGCGAAATCGCCTCCTATTTTATTTTTATAAAGGTTCATTTGGTAGAATTGTACAGGCAATACTACTTATCGATATTTAAGAAGGGTCTGTAACTAAATGTTTCATTTGTTTTTTCGGCAGTAATTATTATGCCAATGATTGTGCTTAACCCGCTTGAAGAAAATTTGAAAGTTAGTTTGTAAATAATGCAGGTTAGTATACAGAAGTCATGTTCTGACAATGGTAGCAATCCTACATGTTATTTGAGCACTAGTACCAATGCTTCGGTTATTTGATTTGTGCGCTTCTGAATCGTTTGCTTTTCTGTATGTGCTGTTGAAGGTCCATTTGTAACCGTTAAAGTATTCAGCATTTGTTTAGTTTATCTTAGGCGTTTAAGATCGAGGTGTATGCTTTGTTTCTTCTCATTCTTAAGTAGAGCTTTCAGTTTTTTCGGATCATCTTTCGAACCGTACCTCTTTTACCAGCCACTAATTATATTTGTGTTATTTGCTACTTTTAATATAAGTTGAACTATTAATCTGTTCTTGCAGAATTACCGAACCATAAACGACTGGTGAATTAATCCGATTTTTAGAACTGCATTATCAAGTGCGACTCCAGCAAAACAATTAGAAAGAAAGATAGCTAAGGAAAACTTCAGGGGAAGAGGCTTCATATAATTATTAAGGAAAGGAGCTAGAGAAAGGTGAATAGATAAAAAAAACTTTGCGATCAGCTTTGCCTGAGTATTACTGCTCTTCAGTTACATATTACCGAACTACTGTGTTAAATTTTTCTATTTTTATAGAAATTCTTGAGTAGCAAGTCTAACGCGTCCCTTGTCCCCAAGCCATGAAACCAATGGTAGTCAATGTTCGTCATGCAGATGGTAACCGTGGACGATATATGGTTTGCATGTGCTACGCGTGGTTTACCACTGTGAGATGCAGGTTCGTTGCTGATCCCTTTCTTGGTTGGGCTGGGTCGTGCTTAAGTGAATACATTCTAGATTATTTACATAATAACGGAAAGATCTATTAGCTCAGAAAATTGTTTATCGGCTTTGATTGCAGTCCAGTACCTCGTTAATCGTGGAACTTCCTACGGATGATAGATTGTACTCAGTACTTTGATCAGTCACTTTCGATGACCTCTTATCCCTTTAAGGTCGCGAAGGCTGACGCTTCAGACAATGTCTCCAACGTTACGATTTTCTGCTAGCGTTTGAGCGACGGCGGAAGATACATCGATTCTGCAGCAGAATGCATCGAACCACTTGCCTCAGGTTATACTTGGCCGTCCCCGGAGTCTTCTATCTGTTGTTTAGGCTAGTAATATCTTCTTCGCCTTCCTTTATGAAAGCATTTGCAAGGTGTGTTAAAACCGTTGCAGTTTTGTCTTCTCAGTCTGCAGAATCAGCGGATGTACAACAAGGCTCTCTCGAATATGTGTATTTCGGACCATGTGTAAACGTGTGAGCCCTGCGATTTATCTTACAAAACACATTTGAATTGTTTGTACCTGAGATTGAAAATTTTTAGTCATGGCGTACGATTCTTTATCGTAGGTGAGCATGGGCATGAAGATTGACCTGAGCACGTATAGACGTAGTCTTTACACTGCACTCTGCTGATGGTTCAACATTAAGCACTTGTGTGATTGTTGCTGAGAGTGCTGTCTTTGATGCTGAAGAGTTTGTTTTTTGAATACTCTCTACTGTGTCGGTTCCAATTCGATAAATGATTGGTACGATTGACCTCGTTGTATATAATTAATTGTGCCTTGTTAATTTCCATGGTATTTCCAATAACTGGTCAGTGTGATAAAAATGGCTTTGTAGAGAGTCTTGAAACTGATTTTTTACCAAAGTCAGTTCGAGGACGGTCCGTATCGGGGACGATACGAATGGATTATATTGAAGACTTGACAACGTCGTGCCTTGAAATTCAGACCTTCGACCTTACCCGTTTGGCGGCTAACCGGTACCATTAGTAAGGCCTCCTACTTCAGCTTT